ACCCCCACGTGTTATTAGTCAGGTCATCCTGCAGCTCGTGTAGGGCCAGGCGTGGCACTACCTCCTCGTGGGCCTCCTCCTCATGTAGGAGGAAGAGGCCCGCGAGCTCTACCTAGGCGCGCGAGACCTGCCCCGTGATGAACTCCCGCAGCCCGCGCATGCTCAGGCGCAGGTCCTTATAGCTTAGGGTCTACTCGTCGTCGCTCTAGTAGATATAGCCCATGCTAGTGGTACTATTCTAGATCTTCTTACTATACGTGCGTAGCCGCGTGATCTAGCCAAAGGGGGCGCGCACCCTAAAGAGCAGGAAGCGCTCGCGCATCTTATCTAGGGCGTCCATGGCGTGGCTCACCTAGCCCGCCTCGGCCTCGCGGACAGCGCGGAGGGCAACTAGCATCTATACTATCTTAACCAGGCCGGAGAGGTAGCTAGTGTAGCTATACAGGTCATGGAAGGTCTAGCGCGCGGCGTCCACCCCTAGCACCACGAGGAAGCCCACTAGGGCACTCTTAAACAGGTCCCCCTTCAGGGGGTGGTCGAGCAGCGCGATAGAGAGGTCTAGGGTGGCCTAGTCTAGCTAGGCCTAGAGCTCCGCCTCGCGGGGGCTACTAGGGGGCTTAGGAGCAGGGCCCGTGTGAGGTATAGCTACTATAGCCAGGGCCTCCTGGGCGCGTGGTGGCAGATATAGTGCGAGCCAGGCGAGCGTGCTACGGGCTAGTAGCCATGGTGCTACCTGCCTAGTGATCTACTTCTTCCAGGGGACCATCCGCGGCGCGCGTGAGGGCGTTATTAGCAGCGCTAGCTAGACTAGCTCTACTACTACTGCTACTACTATAGCCTTGGCCTCCTCGGCTGCCAGGGCTAGTAGCCCGCGGCTACACTCCTCCATCCAGTCCAGGGCGGCCAGCTGGGCGGTGTTTAGCTAGTAGCGGAGCTAGATTCGCTGGCCAGGCCAGCTACTGTGGTAGGCAAAGCAGACCAGGCACTGCCACACCTGGTAGTACTAGCAGTAGGTCTTCGGCCGTAGGTGGATCTAGATCAGCCGGTTCCACATGCGGGGCTCGCGGTGGAAGGTGTTAATCTAGATCTAGTTAAACTCGTTGATCTAGCCGCCCTAGATAGCGTTATAGGCCTGGCTAACCAGCCGCTGCACGCTCGCGGCGAGCTGGGCTAGCAGTGGCTCCTCGCAGGGATCAGGCGGGCCGCCAAGCAGGGCCACCACGATTAGGTCCTGGCCGCGAAGGTACTCGGGCCAGCAGGTAAGCTCCAGCCAGGGCGAGGCCTTGGTTGGGTGTGGATCTAGGACTAGGACCTAGCCCATAGCCCTCTCCACGGCCACCTCCCCCTCCCGCAGCGCCTGGTCCACGCGGGCCTGGACAAGCTCCACGGGGGTTAGCGCTGGCTTCTTCTTCATGCCCTAGGTGGCCGTAGGGGCTGCCATACAGGTCACCTTAAAGAAGTGGCTCCTAGCCTAGGTAACGTAGAATTGCTAGCAGGACACTACCTAATTCACGAGGCGGGCCTGCTGCCGGGCCCTAGCCCGCGCGGCCAAGAGCTAGCCAGGCCCCCACGTGCCGTCCTGCTCCTTATACTGCGCGCGGCGGTGGCCGTTAGTAGACTCCAGGGTCCGGGCGATGTAGGGGCAGTGCGGGCAGCCGTAGCCCTAGTAGACGGGCAGGCCTAGCACGGGCGGGTCGCCCGCGGTGGGCTAGCGGCCGGGCTCCCAGGCTAGGTCAGCCCACGCCCGCTAGAGCATCGCCTCTAGGGCGGCTTCGCGGAGGGGAAGGGTTGCCGTGGTTAGGTGCGAGCGATGGCGGGTGTAGAGGTAGGTAAGCAAGGTAGAGGCAGTTACTACGTACTAGCAGCCAGTGGCCGTGCAGATCCAGACCTGGTAGGTAGGGTTATAGAGGAAGAGATCCATGGCTAGATAGATAGATAAATAAATAAATAAATAAATGATTAGCTGCTATTACTAAACAGGTGCTACACTAAACAGGAAGGCGCGTGTAGAAGTTTAGAGAGGATAGTTCTAGTTCATCGCCTTCCTCCATAGAGCCCTCGCGAGGATCATGCTTTTAGTAGGGGCCGGGTAGGTAGGTAGGTAGGTAGGTAGGTAGGTAGGAAAAGTAGGATTAGGGATTAGGGGGTAGTAGATTTCTTAACCTAACTAACGCAGGCAA